GCTGCTTTATCTTACCCCAGAATTCAGCCCAGGGAAATGCGACTTTGACTCTGGGGGAGGTCTTTTCCGAGCAGCAGAGGAGACCAATCCTGGAAGGAAGGACCGGGAGAGGAAGGGGGAGACCGTCTGGGCCCAGCTATCTGGGAAGTGAAGGGTTAAGCCCTGCCCAGGTGAGCTGGTGAGCTGGGGTACCAGGGGGAGCCCCTGATCCCGGCTCCCAGCGCCCAGAGGAGGGAGCTAGTGGCTCTGGTTTCCTCCAGAAATGACACAGGAAGGTCAGCCCAACCACTGCTCGATGCTTGGGGCTGCCCCGGGGGCCTTGGTGGCCCGACTCCCCTGCCCAGTGGGAAGGAGGTTTACAAATGCCTCCTCAGCACCGCGCCCCGCCCTGCCCTTCCTCTTTTCTTCCTCTGCATCTTCTAGATTTCCAAATATTGCCAGGAAACCAGTGCTCCCTGGGTGGGCTGGGAACAAAACACCCCGAGCGCGTGGGGGGGGGGGGGGGCTGCCAGCACCTCTGGGGGCTTCCCCAGAGGCAGGGTCTCTGGGAAGAGGCTGCCTGGGTTCCAGAAGCTGAGCCCAGCCGGAGGCTCCCCTCCAGGCATGGAGCAGCTCTGCTGAACGCCCGCCCGGCGTGGTGGCCGGGCCTCTGCCGCCCACTAGTGTCCCCAGGCAGAGGTACAGTCAGCAGGCAGGTAGCAGCACCCCCTCGGGCTCCCCGGCTAGGACTGAGCGGGCCCCCGCAGCAGTGGGCAGCACAGATGGGGAGGTGGGGGTGGCCCGAAGCCAGAAGGCCCCGCGGGGACACGGCTGGAGCCCAGGGCCCAGGGAGGGCTGCATTCCAAAGCAGAGCCCGCAGGCAGACCTCAGACCAAGTGGCCGGGATTTTACTGTCCCCAAGAGAATACCCAGGCTCCTCCCCAATCTCATTGGACGATTCGGTGAAATTTGGGATGCTTTTGTGAAATGTGATTGCCATCAATTTTGCAAATGCGAAATCCCTAATTTGCTTTTCAGATCAAAATGTCAACGCCCTCCCAGCATCCACAGGTAGGTCTCGCCATCAGATGAGTATCTCCGTGTCTCTGTCTCTGCGCCCCCCGCCCCCCACCTCCGGCTTCACCGCACAGTGATGCCGAGTCTCCTCGAGACACACTAGCACACACCCCGGCCCGCAGCCCGGCACATCTGTGATAAAACACTCTGACAGCTGCCCGGAGACCCAGGGACCAAGACAGACCGTTTTCTTTTTTTAGACAAGCCACTCCCCCTGCAGGGGGCTGCCTGAACCCTCATCCGGACTTCCCAGCTCTCCAGACAACAGTGGGCTGTAGTCACACCCCCGAGGGGCATCCAGCAGTGCACACAAGAGATGGCGACAGGCTGGTATTTAGCAAAGGTCGGCCCGGCATTCTGGGTGCCTGCAGAGGCCTAGGGCTGGGGCCTGAGCGACCCCGAGATGTTAGACGTCCCCTAAAATCCAAGGCTAGGACTCCAATCTGCATCCGGAACCCAGGGGAGGTGGGGGAGGGGAGGAAGGCCCGACATTATTCGCCTGACAACGTTTTTCACTTTCAGACATTCGACACAAATTCAATGACAATCATCCCCAAGTCCTCAAGGTGCCCGGAGCGGACAAAGCTCCATTTCTCCAATAAAATGAAACCCCAAGTTGATGGCATCCGATTCCCAGGGGAGAGGCTCCCACAAAGACACCCCCTCCCCAGCTGGGACCCAGGCACGCGGCCCCTCCCCCCAGCCGAGCACCTTGGTCTCCCCTAAAATGGCCCAGCTGCCATGGTTCCCGAGAAGATCATGTGAAGGACACGTGCCAGCCCGAGAGTCGCAGGGAGGCTGGAAAACGGATGCTCTGGATTCTGTTTCCCGAGGGGCCTCCACTGCTTCCCACCACCCGCCTAGAAGGGGCAGCTCAGGGGGGCAGGCAGCACAGGTGAGGGTGAGAAAACAGGGAGCCTCCAAATGCCCCGAGGAGTGGACAGGCTCAGGGCGGATGTCCATCTCTGGGAGCTGGGCTCAAGGCTCCTTTGGGTATTTCAGTTTCCAGAGGAGCACAGAGCAAGGAGTCGGTCCCTGGCCCTGGCTGCCCCTGATGAGGTGAGGTCATTCATTCACTACGTCCCTTTCTCTCCCCTGGGTGACACTGCCTGCCTGCCTGCGGCCTGCCCAGCACTGGACTCTCCTGGAGAAAGACCAGGGAGAAGGCAGGCCTGTGAGGGGGCGGGGCTTCTAGTACCTCAAAATAGCAAAGAGCACCCCCAAAAACGCACAATTGTTTACACATGTGTGGCAGACATTTTGGTGGAGGTCCAGTCCAGGCGATCAGGAATTCCTAGCTCCGGTTCCAACGTCAGGCAGGACTCACTCCAAATTAAGGCCGACCAACAGCCAGCGCTGTGTAAACCTCAATTCTGCTTTTGAAAACATGTCTCCCCGAGTGAAGGAGGAGGCCCTTTCAGCACGCGATTCTGAAGCGCGGTCTTATGAACTGAGAATATGAACAGGCACTAATTTCCTCTGGACACCAGTATATGGTGTTCCATCCTTGGCATATGGGGGGCATTAGACATTACACCATCAAAAACTATGGAAAGCTGTCTCCCCTCCCCGCTGCCCAAACAGCTCTCCTGTCAGGCTCTCTCTCTCTCCCAACTGATCCTATAGAAAGGGTCACTTTTATGTAAGAGTCCCATGGCACAGAATCAGAACATACGATACAACCATGCAAATATGCATTTGCAGGGACCATCTCTCCCTGACATTGTAAAATCCACAGTCTGCACCTCGGTGATGAACATGACCATCAATCAGCTCCAAAGGGACTGAGAACGGCACACTGACCCCGCCCCCGCCCCCCTCCGAGCCCGGCCAAGGGACACAGACCTGGTTTATATAACAAGAAGAGATTGCTGTGTTTTAGATGATTTTCCCATTAAATATGCTTTTATCATTTTCTTAGCAGGAAAATGATTTTTTTTAAATAACACACATACAGAACATCTCCATATCAGGCTGTACCAGAAATTCTTGCGTGCTATTTTTATCATGTGTAACTGTGAAATTGCAAAAAAAAAAAAATGCTGATTGACAAGGCGATGTCCTGGCTCTTTCGTCATCCCGAGGCGTCCACCCCAAGCCGGGTGGGCATGACACTCCATCTCACCAGCGAGGCCTTCTGGGAGCATCCCCAGAGGCCACCCTGCAAGGTGAGCTAGGCCTGAATGCTTCAGCTGTAGAAGCAATTTTCTAGGCATGGCAATGGCCCAGCGGCCTCCCAGCTCCCCACACTTGCTAAAACAGGGCTCCCCTCTCCCCGCGCCCCTGACACAGCTTTCAGAGGGGTGCTGCGGAGAAGCTGAGTGCCCCTGGGAAAGATGGGTGTCCTGTGGGAACTTGGGCCATGGCAAGGAAATCTGGGGATGAAAGTTCGGAACACTTGCTGGCGGCTCTGGGGGAGAGCTGGGGGTCATTTCCCTGCCCATTTCCGGAGCACCCCCTCCTCCCTCAGACACCTTGGCTCAGCCATTTGTTTTTCAATGGGCCCAGCCTCTAGCCTGCGCTGCGTGGAGGGAGAGATTCCTTAAATAGGCTCTGGGTAGGCAAGGCAGGGAGAGCCCAGGGCTGTTGCTGCTGCTGCTGCATCTTCTAGGAAAATCTCCGCACCTGCCCCGGATGGCTGTGGGTTTCTGGCATTTTCTCCAAGGGCCACACACTGCCCCCTCTCCCCTCCACCTCCACCCCCACCCCCTCCTCTGTCTCTGGGAAGAGAATTCTGCTTGATGGTTTCATTTTAGCTGCCAGCCAGTCACACATTTTCGTGATGCAGAGATCTGAACAGGGAACTGAAACCGTAGCTGCTCGCAGGCAATGCCAAACGCTGCCGACTTCCTCTCGCACCCGCCTAGGGGGAAGCCATTCATACATGTAAGTTCATATTTACGCGGTGGCGGGGGCAGGAGAAGCCGGCTGCGGGCACACTCACTCATTGCGCCTGACTCACCGAACAGCAGGGGCTTTGCAAAGACCCAGGCAGGGAGCCTTGCAGAAGAGAGGATTCAGGGGTAGGTAGGGAGGAAGGAAGGCAATGCCAGCCTCGGCACCCACCCCGTCAAATTTTTTTTTACAACTGTACAGGTGTTTTTTTAAAAAAATGTGTTCACATTCCAGATGATGTAATGCTTATCAATGCATATTGTTCCATAAATGAAGAAGTGGATACTACCCCCCCCCCAAAAAAAACCGGGAAGGGGTGGGTGGGGGGTTGTAGAGTTGAAAGGACAGATGTTCCTAAGGACTGCCTTAGATAATTTCTGCCCGAGATCAAGTGCAGCAGATTTCTGATCAGGTGTAGAAAGCCCAGGAAGCCTTGAGTCCGGAGGCAAATTCTCTTAATTGACCTTCCACCTGCCGGCCCTTGGCATGGCGTGTCCTCTGAGGGTGGATGCATGCAAGTGGTGATATGGCCTTCCCATCCACCCCTCCGCAACACACACACACACACACACACACACACACACACACACACACACACCCTGCACCCCCCAAAAAACCTGGTTTATTCCGGATGAGACAGCTGCCTAGGACAGGAGTTAGGCGCCAATCTGTCACTTTGCTAGGTAAGCTCCTTTAAATGATTACAGAGCAATTTTTCCACCCGGGGCCTCCTTCCCCGATGCCTCGCCTCCCCCGAAAGAAATTAAAATGTTCTGTCTATTTTTGAAACCCAAGCATGGGGAAAAAAATATAAACACAGATAAGGAGGGGAAAGGGAGAGACTCCAATGGGGAGATGCATCCAGCACCCCCCCACCACCATCCACCACCACCACCACCGCCGCCGCCGCCGCCGCCGCCGCCGCCACCGCACACCCCAACATACACACACACGCGCGCGCACATACACACACGCGCACACACACATACGCACACGCACACGCCAGGTCCATGCCAGCCGTGCAACGGATCCCGACCGCCAAGGCTCACCATTCGCGAAGCTCTGGAACAAGGAGAGGGCCAGTATCCACATGCCCCTGTGTGCCCCGGCCTCCCGCCAGCGACGCGCCGGCCTCGCCCCCCGCGCTGCGCCCGGCCCGGCCGCCCGCGCGCCACCTGCCCGCCGCCCGGTCCCGGGGCTGCGCGGGCACCTGCTCCCGGGCGCCGCGCCCCCCGCTGCGGCCAGCGCGGGCCTGCGGGGCTGCAGCCCAGGTGCGCCGCGGGCTCAGGGGGCCGCCGGCAGGTCGGCAGGTGCGCAGAGCCGCCCGCGCGGGCCTGAGCTCATCCCGGGCGCGCCCCGCAGCGAGCGCGCAGCCTCAGCCCCCGGCGCCGGGCGCGCTCATCTTCCCTGCCCGCGGCCCGGGTGGCGCGGGGCGGCGGCGGCGGCGGCGGTGGCGGGGACCCCTCCCCTGCCTCTGGCCGCTGGGGCGCTCTGCAGTCTTCCAGCGGCCGCCGAGAGGGGCGGCGGGCGGGCGGGAGCGGGGCGCGCGCGGCCCCCGCGCAGTCACGCACGGGCGCCCGGCGGGCTCGTGTCCACGCAGCGCGGGCCGCGGGGCCGGGCCGGGGGCCGGGTGCCCGCGCGAGGGGCGCGCGGCGGCGGCGGCGGCCCCGGCGCTCGCGGGCTGGCGGCGGGGGGCGCGGAGCCCCGGCGGCGGCGGGCACCGGCTAATTGGCGCTGGGCTCGAAGGCGGCGGCGGCGGCGGCGGCGGCGGCTCGGGCTCGGGAATGGCCAAACGGCGCACGCACCCGCCCCGGGGAAGGCTCGCGCATTGAATCACTCCGGCGGCACCGCGCTCTCCCGCACAACTGCGGGAGGCGCTCCTGCCAGGCGCCTCTGCGCGCGGCGGCCGGCGCTCACATGCAAATCGGAGCGGGCTCCAGGGGGCGGGGGGCGTCCGCCCAGCTCCCCTTCACTTGGCAGAGGGGCCGGCTGGCCTTGGGGACCCCGGACGGCGCTGACAGGCAGGACCCCCCTCCCACCCCCACCCAGGGCTGGGAAGGGGCATGGGGGGGCAGTGGTGGAGGAGGGACGAGTGTGGGGGTCTCAGGGGCAGTGAGCCTGCTTCCCGGGGAGTGTCCGCTGTCTGTCTCCTGGGGCCCCCCCGGTTGTACATCTCTCAAGGGGAACCAGCGCAAACCCACGGGCACAGCAAATGGTGAAGCAGAAACAAAATGGTGTTTTACCAGCGCCGGGCACAAGATGGCCAGGCCCGTGCACGGGGTCCAGCTGAGCTGGTGAGGCTGCCCCTCCTGCCAGGCTCTGCAGCTGCAGGTGGTCACGTGCCGCCGCCCACTCAGGACAGCAGGCCCGGCCTTGCCCTGCCACCCGCCCCAAGGCACCAGCCGGAGGCTTTACAGACAGGGCTGGGGGGCACTCCGACGCCCCCAGCACTGGGCGGGCAGGGGGCAGGGGATAGGTCCTCTCCACCTGCCCGTACCCCCTCACCCCTCCGTTCTCCCATTGACAAATTTCCAGCCCCGCCCTGCAGCTCAGAGCTGCACTCATCAGAGGTGGATGCGTGCAGCCGTGCCAAGCCCTGGGGTTCCCGGGTGCACAGCCCACCATCAGCACCAGGGGGGCTCTGTGTGGTATGTTTGGGGGTCTGGGGCCACACCTGGTGGTGCTCAGGCTGACTCCAGGCGGGGTTCTGGGGCCCATCCATCTGTGGTGACGGGGCTGGAACCCGGGTTGAAGGCGTGCAAAGACAGCACCTCAGCTGCCGGCATTTCTCGGGTTCCAGTCCTGCGTGTCACCTGACCGGGGAGCTTCAGAGCCTCAGAGCTTGTCCTGCCGCCCTCTCTGTGGAACGAGCCCCAGCCAGACCGGAATTGGTGCTTCAGGGACCCATCCCAAATCACCCCCTAGGTGTACTCGCTGCTGTCAGACCCCCATGCACACCCCAACCCCGCTCCAGGAAGTCCAGATAGAGGTTGGGGTCCTGGCCATCTCACCCACAGCACCCAGGTACCACCTGAGAGGAAGCAGCCCTGAATGCGTTCTCCAGGGCAGAGGCCAGTCGGGGTGCCAGGAGTGGAAACAGGGTGGGCCAGGCAGCCCAGGACCTCTAAAAGCAAGTGGCAGAAGGCCATGGGGGCACCCAGGCAGGGGTGCAACACGTTTTTAAAAATTAGTAAGAGCAGATAGTGTTGGCCTTGCACACGGCAGACCCGGATTTGATACCCAGCACCCCATATGATCCCCAAGCCACCAGGAGTCATCCCTCAGGACAGGAACAGGAGTAAGGCCTGAGCATCACTGGGTATGGCCCCAAGTAAATTTTTTAAAAGATAAAGAATTCCAAGATGGTCACTGCAGAGCATCTAGCCCCTCTTGGAGACCGAGGCATCTGAGCACAGTCCCCCCACCCCCATAAAGCCAAGCCGCCCGGACAGAAAAGGTTAACAGCCTAGCCCGACCAGTGGAGCCTCCAACTCAATTTTCCACCATATTTTTAGAATATGCTCCCACAGCAGAACTTACCTACCCTGAAATTGTGAGTTCCAGAGTCAGAGCAAGGACATATTTAGGGAGGGAATGCAGGGGGCAAGGGCAATTGTGTACACACAAACATGGACTCCCGGATAAGACACACTCCCCAGGGAAGCCAGAGGGAGGAACGTAAACTGAGTGCTTGCTCTGTATCCCTGGTAACACATATGAACCCTGAGCCCTACATAGGTGATCCCTGAGCACAGAGCCAGGAGTAAGCCCTGAGCACTGCTGAGTGTGGCCCCAACACCACGCCCATTTTTATTAATTTATTTTGGCTTTGGGGTAACAGTCAGTGATGCTCAGGGGTTCCTCCTGGCTCTGCACTCAGGAATCACTCCTGGAAGTGTTTGGGGGACCCTATGAGATGCCGGGCTCTAACCCGGGTCAGCCACATGCAAGGCAAATGCCCCACCATATCCTTCGTTTTGCACAGACTAAAGCAAGATAAATAGGTTCTTGCTTTAGAACCTGCTTAAAGGCAGCCAGCCCGAAAGTCAGATTTAGGCGAACATCACAGGGGCTGGTCATCAAACCTTCCCGGTTCCAAGTTGCAGGATGGAATTTGCCACTGGAATCTGGGAGATTCGATCCTCAACACCTTTTCGAGACTCAGACCCTTGCCTCTCCCCACCCAGAACTCAGTCATGCAGCTGGTCTTAGGCCGTAGGAAATCGAGTTTGCTCCCTCCCCACCTCCGAGGTCTGCAGTTGCTGGACACTGGGCGTGACTGCAGGCTGCAGGCAGTGCTCTCTGTAGCACAGGCATTCCTGGAAGCCCTCCCCATGCAGAAGCCAAGGCAGGGTAGATATTCCAAAGTGGGGGTGGAGGGGAGCAGGTAACAGTCTCAGGGCCAAGCAGTGGTCAGCATCTGGGCACCGGGCCCTGGGTGCTCCTGTGGGCTCAATGCCTGGGCCTGGGAGATCAACCTTTGATGGAACCCCCTGCAGCGCCTGCCCACACACAACCTTCCTCTTTGCAGAGGATCCCTCGGGCGCCCACTGGAAGGATGCTCGGTTCAACCAGGCCAGTTTGGGAAAAGTCGACACTTGCCCTGGCGACAGCAGGTCGAGCAGGGTGTCTGAAGGATGGCCCTGCTGCCAAGCGGGGTCTAAGGGGTGTGCAGGTGGCCTGGAGCCAAGGCAGAGGCAGGCCAGCAGGAAGCTGTGAGAGTTCATTCTGACCCAGACAGCTCCAGTTTGAGTGTCCAAAGTGGGTTACTTGGGTACCCTGTGTCCCAGCGCCGTGCCTCCGAAATACACAGAGGAGAACTCTGCGTGGGGCTCTTTGTGGGGCTTAGGGGGGAGTCCTTGGTTCCCCTGAGCATCTGCGCACCTCACTCTCCACTCTATGTGCCCGTCTCAAACATGTGTGTTTCTGGTGTATGAGATGTTTGGTGTGTATGGTACGTCTTATGCCTGCATGTGTGTGAGATGTGGATTGTGTATGCATATGTATATGTGCTATGTAGTATGTAGGAATACGTGTGACATGTTGTGCGTGTGGTCTGAGCGTGGTGTGTGTGTGTGTGTGTGTGTGTGTGTGTGTATGTGTGTGAATACATGTGGCATGCCCTTATACCCAGGGGGACTTACCTCATACAGCACCACTCAGCTGCTCTGCTAACTTCCTCTATGGCTTGCTGTGACCCTTTTTCCAAACAGGGTCATATTCTGAGTTAGGTGGCGGGGAGGGATTTAATGTAGCATTTGGAAGAGACAAATTCAGCCCAGAAGAGGCCCCAAGGCAGAAGGCAGCAGGATTTCCCTGCCAAAGAAGGGTCCCCTGAGTGGGGGGGCCCAGGGTCTGGCCCGGGTCCCTGACTCAGGCACAGAGCCCATTCTCCTGGCTCCCTGCCCCTTCCCTGGGGAGAGGAATCCTCCCTCCCTGCTCCATAAACAGCGAGCCCCGAGCCCCCCGGAGCAAGCCAGGCATGTCCGGGGCTCGGACGCGGGGACGACACCAGCCTAGAGCATCAGCATGTGCCCTGGCCCTGCTGACCACTCAGAGGGAACAGGTGGGCTAGCAAAGCTTCATGCTGGAGCCTTGAGGAAATTGGGACCGGACTGTTGGAACCCGTAACCACCCTGCCCCAAACCGAGGTGGCACAGAGTCCCGGCAGTGTCCCCTCCTTTCTCCCTGCATATAGCTGCCCAGTGGGGGCCTCGGACCATACCCAGGCTCGCCTCGGACCTGCTGCTTCAGCAGAACCGAGAACTAAAGGGCAGGTGCTGAGCATGACTCCAGGGCCAGGGGCCCAAAAGGCCTCAGCATCCAGGTGGAAGCAGACAGACGTCTAGCTACAGAAGCGGCCAGCTCATGGCTTCAATGTCCTCGGGCCAGGGCTGGCTGTACTGCACACAGACTGGGGCCCAGACCTCAGGAAAGGCAGAACACGCAGAAGAAGACCCGGATCCCACGAGTGTCACATGGAGGAGGGCACTCCCATAATAGTGACCGGAACTGAGGTCACCTCTACGTCCCACCAGTCTGATGTGTGTGGTGTATGTGATCGTCCTCTATGTGACATGCAGTGGGCATGTGTGCTCTCTAAGAGTATGTCCCTGTGTGGGTGTGTGGCATATGCTGTGTGTGTTGAGGAAGTATGTGCATATATGCCTACACATGGTGTGATGGTGTGTGTTGTGTCCATATGAACGCATGTGCGTATGTGTTTGTATGTTGTATGGCTGGGCATGGTGGACATTTCTGGTATGTATGTGATGTTTTGGCTTATCCACACCTGTGTCTCTCTGTGTGTGGTGTGCATATGCTGTGTGGACACGTGCACACCTGTGTCTCTCTGTGTGTGGTGTACATATGCTGTGTGGACAGGTGCACTGTGTGAAATAGATGTGCATAGACATGTTTGTGTTTATGTGTGTAGAATGTGAATTTCATG